AGATAGATAGATAGATAGATAGATAGATAGATAGATAGATAGATAGATAGATAGATAGATAGATAGACAGATACATAGATACATACATAGATACATACATAGATACATACATAGATACATAGATATGGGTGGATGGATGGATGGATGGATATAGATAGATAGATAGATAGATAGATGATGAACTTGACAGCTTTAAGACTTGTGGGACTTCCAACTCCCAGAATCCCTGAGCTAACATGACTGGAGGAGGAATTCTGGGAGTTGACGTCCACAAGTCTTAAAGCTGTCAAGTTTGAAGACCACTGTGTTAGAACCACAGTGGCGCAGTGGTTAGAATGCAGTACTGCAGGCTACGTCTGCTGCCTGCCGGCTGCCTGCAATTTGACAGTTCAAATCCCACCAGGCTCAAGGTTGACTCAGCCTTCCATCCTTCCGAGGTGGGTAAAATGAGGACCCAAAATTGTTGGGGGCAAGATGCTGACTCTGTAAAACCACTTAGAGAAGGCTGTAAAGCGGTATATAAGCCTGTGCTAAGTGCTATCATAAAGGCATAGGATGAGGTCTTCACTTAGTGGGACAATTGTTTAAAAGAAAGGTCACATGAACACCTAGTCAGGTTGGCCAAGTCATCTTCTGTCCAAAAAAAAAAATGATTTCCACAACTGGCGGAAGTCGCTGTGAAAACTAATTTAATTTCCTCCCCTAAACTTAGAGAAATGAAACTTTCTTTGAAGTAGACCAGAATAGACAACGATGCATGTCTTTGCTTCAAAATACGCTCTTATTCATTGCCTGCGTTTCGAGGCTCCCTCTCGCGGGAAGCATTTCACCAATCTCCTGTCCCTGGGTGCCTATTTTTTAGGAAAGAGAATGGTGTTTAAATGTCCCAGCTTGTCTTTTCAGGAGTGGTAACCACCAAACGTCCGTTGAACCTTTGCAGGGCAAGCGAAGACCATGGCAATTGTAGGACCAGAGGTGGTTGACGCAAGTCAAGGATCAGTTCTTACTTTTCACGTCCAGCTGCAGACCGATAATGGAGAGCTTTCTAAAAGTAAGAATGCCACTTTTTATTTTTATTTTTTTGGAAGCTTTGCGTCACTCCGTAAAATAATATTTATGGGTGACAAAAAAAATAGCCCCTTCCATTTCTATGCCATTTCAGACCGATGGTTTGTTTAGTCTCTTATTGAAAACTTCCAGTCTTCTTATTGAAACTTTCCCTGGCAGGAAATTTCTCCTTAATTCTAGGTTGCTTCTCTCCTTGATTGGTTTCCATCCGTTGCTTCTTGTCCTGCCTTCTCAGGTGCTTTGGAGAATAGTTTTCCCCCTTCTTTTTGGGGGCAGTCCCTCAGATACTGGAAGACTGCTATCATATCGCCCCTAGTCCTTCTTTTCACTAGACTAGACAGACCCAGTTTCTGCAACTGGTCTTCATCTGTCTTCATGAAAGTTGTCAAAGTTGACAAACTTCTCAAGCCCATAAAAAATTTTTTTGGGGGGGGAGTATCTTTCAATCTCAGGAGCATCCAGGTTTCTAGATCACAAATCTCTTCTTTCCCCGTGTCCTTGTTTTCCCGCCCAAGTTTCATTCTTCACAGGTAAATAATTCCACAGCTTTGCACTTCCTAAAATCGGAGCAACAACGACCCTGTACAAGCTACCAGATTAGACGCTGGGCAGTTCGAAGCCAAAATCAACTTAAATCATCCTTTTTTTAAAAAAACAAACAAACAAGATTCTCATTTTTCTTGCGAGAGGCTCCAGAGAATCGGTTCTGCTCTCACTCAGCACCTAAGAAACCCCCTTTCTTAAAGACCCTGTGTTAGGATCCCATGGTGGTTTATCCTTTAGACTTCCTCATCATGTTTCTCCATATTGCTAATATCCTCTTAATCCCAGATAACCACAGCCATGCTTGTTCCGAAGAGTCCATCTTAGCTAATTATTGATTACTATTTAAAAGAAAAAAAAAAAGAACCTGTTTAAAGCTTCAGGGGAAGCCCTGTTTTTCGAAAAGAGGGGAAGGTTTCTGTTGATTCTCGAACCCATTTTGTTTCAAATTACTGCCGGAGAAGTCGAGGCTGCGTGCAGCAGGTGGTGGTAATTAAACGCCTGTAGCTGCCTACGTTTTTCCGGGTGTTTGTGGGCTCATCCGAATGCGCTGTTTGTGTTGCTTTCCCTCCTCCTCTCCCCTTTAAATAATTTTTTTTAAAAAGAACAAAAATCGGACCACGTTCTGATTTCGTCCCGTGGGAGAACGATTCTTCTTCCGTCGTGACATAGAAATAGAGACATGGTAGAAGCGTAGGGAGAATAATGGTTTGTCCCTAAAAGAGCATTGGAAACAGGATGTGGCAGGATAGAAGGTCGTCCTGGGAACCAATGGGGTTTATTCTGCCCTTTGCTTGGATTCGGTTGCGTGTGTCTTCCAGACAAATGGGGCCTTTTTTCTTTCCTCACAACATTGAGAGCATCTGTTGAAACTCAGTAAGAAGAAATTCAAAACCAATAAAAGGCGGAAATTAATAAAAGCATCCATGGTGCTCTCCGAGTTTCACTGTTTCTCTTGCAAGACGTTTCATTACCAAACGAGGTAACATCATCAGTGCTTAGAAGGAGTGGGGTTTACTCTCTCTTTACATAGCTAGTACTTGACTTACAACCACCCAAATCTCTGTTGCTAAGCAAGACAGCTGTTAAAATCAGTTACCCCCTGTTTTGCCAATCGTTAAGGGAGTCACGGAAGTTCTTAAGTGAATCATCCGGCGGTCGTTAAGCAGATGAAACCATGGTTTTCTCTTGGCCTTGTTCTTTGATCTCTTAGGTGAAAGGGGCCGACTGCTGGAGATTACGGCCAGGAACAGAAAGATCACCTGTCCTGAAGGCTATCAAACCAGCTCCCATGAATCGGTGGAAGCCATCAAGAAGCAACCAATTTTGTAAGTGGCAGGTTTCATTTCTGGTGCACCTCTTCTGGATCCCCAGGACTTCCAAGCCATGTTTGGCTTAATCAGAGTCAGGCGAATGCGATACGGAGGGCTAGTTCAGGGAAGCCTTTCACCTGATTGGCAAACATCAATCACGGAATTCGAGTCAACCATCGGATGGGGAAAGGAACCCATCTGAACCTCTGCGATAGGCTCAGGGTGGGATCTCCTTAAACACTCCTGTTTTTACTGCGATGTAAAAAAAGACATTGAGAGACTCTAGAAAGAGTGCAGAGAAGAGCAACGAAGAGGATTAGGGGACTGGAGGCTAAAACATACTAAAAAACGGTTGCTGGGATTATGTGTGTCTAGTCCAAGAGTCTTCAAACTAGGCAAGTTTAAGACTTGTGGACTTCAACTCCCCCAGAATTCCTGAACTAACATGACGAGGAGGAATTCTGGGAGTTGACGTCCACAAGTCTTAAAGCTATCAAGTTTGAAGACCTCTGGTCTAGTCTAATGAAAAGAAGGACTAGGGGAGACATGATAGCAGTGTTCCCATATCTCAGGGGCTGCCCCAAAGAAGAGGGGAGTCAAGCTATTCTCCAAAGCACCTGAAGGCAGGACTATCATGTCACCCCGCTAGTCCTTCTTTTCATCAGACTGGACGTACCCAGTTCCTGCAACCTTTCTTTGTAAGTTTTAGCTTCCATTTGGGGTATACCTCAACCTTATGGCCTGTAAGCTGTGTTTGATGGCTTACCTTCTGCATGAACTAGGCTGCTGTCACTTTGCCAACAGGCCACTCTTAAAACCCACCATTTGATTTCCACAGGGTGGGCAACCTGGCGCCCACGAGCCTGCCTCTCCGAAAGGTTTTGAAAATTAAAATAATTAAACAACTGGAACCGTGCCAAGCAGTGCACTATTCTCTCGCAATATTTATTTCCAAGAATGTTTTCCTGGCGGGTGGCTGGGAACTGTGCTCAATGTGATGGATATTTTATGAATAGAAACTTCTCCCTTGGCAGCACTTTGGGTTTGCGCTCACCCCCATGCTTTCCAAATTCTGAACGTGCTCTCGGTCCAGAGGACTGACTCCCTTGGCTCAATTTGCCGTGTTATCCGACTTTCCTTTGCCACAGCCAGCTTGCAAATCTCTCCTACGATCAGAGCCACTTTGGGTTGGGGCCTCTGGCATTCTTTCCCACCGCTGAATTTGGAAATCACTTTCCTGATGCCCAGAGGTGGGAAGCTGAAAACCTGCGCAGGCTGGAACACCGGAGAGACATACTTTGATGCTTTCCCGGAAAAAAAAAGACAAGAAAAAAACCTGGACTGCCGGCTCAAGTAGACTGGGCTGTAAAAACCCAGAGTAGAAAGTCTATTCTCCAAAGCCCCCAAAGGCAGGACAAGAAGCAACAAAGTGGGAACTCATCAAGGAGAGAAGAAATGGAATTAAGGAGAAATTTCTTGACAGTGAGAACAGTTAGTCAGTGGAACGGCTTGCCACCAGAAGTTGGAGGTTGCTCCATCAGTGGAGGCTTTTAAGAAAAGGCTGGACAGCCATTTGTCTGGAATAGTATAGGGTCTCCTGCGAGGATGGACTAGAACAGTGGTTGCCAACCGGTGGACCAGGGACCACTGGAGGTCTGTGAGAAAATGTTGGTGGTCCCCAGAGAAATGCCCCCCCCAAAGCACTCCCCCCCCCAAGCAATTAATCCAGGCTGCATGGGAACACAAGGCTGCGCTGCCCACATGGCCCGCCCACCCGCAGGCCCCCACCCTTCAGCCAAGCGCAAACCTTGTCTTGAGTAGAGCCACACAACTGGAACTGGAAGGTAAGACTAATGGCGGGGGAGGGAAATCCGCCCCGGCGTGGCTTTTGCTGACGTTGGTGGGAAAATTGGTCCCATATTCCAGAGCTGCAGGAGTCACCCAGGACTGGCCTTTTAGCCATCCCGGAGCAGCTCCTCCAGTCCATGGCAGGACGGTGCATCTGGGTGGAGAAGCATCTGCTCCAGGATGACCCGTCTTGTCACCACTGCAGCTCTGGAATATGGGACTGACTTTCGCACCAACGTCAGCAAAGCCACCGTCAGTCAACATTCCTATTAGTGGTCCACGGGATTTAAAATTATGATTTGGGCGGTCCCTGTGGTCCAAAAGGTTGGCAACCCCTGGACTAGAAGATCTCCAACGTTCCTTCCAACTCTTGTTCTTCTGTATGGCAGCACTCTTATCTCAAAGGTCTCCAAACTTGGCAACTTTTAAGACTTATTGGACTTCAACTCCCAGAATCCTCCAGCCAGCTCTACTCCATGAGGTAGAAGGCTCTGCCAGAATGATGGAATTGTGTTTTTCTGAGGAATACCTGGAGAAGGGCTAGGCCTAACCAGGTTCTCACAATTGTTCGTCTGTCTGTCTGTCTGTCCAATGTAGGGATGGCCCATCGCTCGGAGCAACGATGCTTTAGCCAACATAGTTGGATCCTTCCGCACAAGAGACCTAAAGTTTAGCCCCAACCGCCTTCTTGGAGCCACCTACCTTGTTTTCACCTCCCTCATAGGGGAAGCCCTAGCTGTCCTTGGTGTGTTTTACGTCCTCCCACTTTGCCCAAGACTTCTTTCATGGAGAAGAGTTTCCTGAGGAAACCTCTCTAGAACTGGCCAATCACCCTCTTCTAGCTCAGGGAACGTGGAATCTTTCAGATCCTATCGGCTGTCTTGCGTTTGTGGCTTGCAACCCCAAGTCATCTGCGCCCGAGTCAGCCTTGGTTCTGTTTTCTTTTGGGGCAGGAAGTCTGGCGATTCCAGTTACTCTTTGATGACCGTCGCATCTGCAAGCCAACCCCCACAAGCCATCCCACCAGTTGTCAGCAAATCAGGACACGCCAGCCCTGAAGTGGTCACCTCCCACGAAAGAAAGCCAGGGCATGAAACAAAGAACAGTAAGTAACCACGATGAAATTTAGTTTAGCTTAGCTTAGTTTACTTTGTCGTTGCACCTCGTGCAACAAAATGAAACGCCATCTTCAGTGCACATTATGTAACGACAAAAATAAAAGACAAACACACCAGTTGGTTTGAGCGCAAGGTTTAAGAAACGAGTCGGGGTAGAAAGGAAGAGAAAATCTATGGTGCCTTTTGTACACTAATGGACGGCTGTGAGAACATTCAAAGTTTGCACTGGCATCCTTCAGAAGAAATTAGAGAGTTTGATTTCCAAATTCCTGAGGGGCAGGGCGGGAGAAAAAACCCATGTATTAAACAGCTTCGGGGCAGGGGAGGGGAGGGAATTCTTGGATCAATCCAAGCCTGCTTTTGAAACAGAGAAAAGCACTCATTTCATCTGCTCTTTTTGCCAAACAATGATGCCCCGTCTTCCAAAAAGGAGAGAGAGAATAAAAACCACTTAGTGTGGCTGGTCGCTGACACTTGAGTTGCAAGCTAAGGCATGACAGCCTCTAGACCCAACCCTGTCCTGTTTTGGCAGTCTCCTCAGCTTTGTCTCACTCAAACTTTGCCGCGGCCTGGTCACCGAAGGAGGCAAGACGTCAATTGGATAATTTCCTCTGACTCTAAACCTTCCTTTCACTCCCCTTCCATCTCCTCTCCGCTCTGCTCAAAACCTTATCCGTTTCTGTTCGAGGCCCCGCTTTATAAGATTAGGGCGAAGGAAACAACCTTAGGGGGCTTTTTCATCTTTCGGGACTTGAATCCAGACCAGAGGAAGGTTTACTTGAAGGCAGGTCAGAGGGGAGAGTATGGAAGAAGATTTCAACCTGTGCGAAAGGGGCTGATGAGAGCTCTTTTTAGACTTGGCCCCGAGTTCGAAGGCTGCCTTGTATCAGGGGCCAAGTGAGCTTTGCACAGCTCGTCCTCGACATGCAACAGTTCATTTAGCGACCGTTCAAAGTTACAGTGGCACTGAAAAAGTTACTTCTGTCAGAGCGTTTGCAACGTGACTACTATTATGAGACAACCCAGAAGCAAAACACAGCACACACATACTTAGACATTTAACAGTGGTTTACGTACAAGACATATACAGAAATATATCTGGTAGGCAAATGCCGTACAAGCAATCAATCTTCTTAACTCTACACTGAGAACTCTGCAATGGATACAGGACACAAGGAGAGAGAACACGCCCTCTAATGGCTGCCTTTATATCGACACCTTTTAAAGAGGCACCCAAACATAGTCTTAAAAAGGCAATATCAATGCCGATTCATCCTCATTGCATCAGCCTTACAGCAACTGGTCAGCTCTTAAATCTCAATACCGTAACAATCTGTTTTTCACACAACCGCTGCAGCATCCCCACAGTTCAAGTGATCAAAATTCAGGCACTTGGCAACCAGTTCATATTTATGACAGTTGGAGTGTCGCGGGGTCAAGGGGAAGTCATATTCACTTAACAACTGCAGTGATTCTACAACCACTGCGACAAGAAAGCGTGCAATTTTGGGGGGGAAAGAGCTCTTTTTTTCCTCCTCGTCTCCACCTCGTACGGGCCTTTCTCTCCACCTACTCAGAATTGTGACTCAAGGTTTACTATAATCCCAGTGAGTCAAAACTGCCAACTCATCTTTCGTATAAATATACATTCACCACCTATATTATTATTTTGGTTTCCTCTGAAGGGCTTTGTTGACAGACGAGGTGACATTTTTCTGTCATAAATACCCGGGTATTATTTACAGGCCAGCGATTTCTGAAATTATTCAACGGAAACCCGAACATGGAGATCTTGGGAGTTGAATCCGAGTTTAATCACCCTGGTTTATTGTGAGCCATAATATTCAATCCACCCATATCACTTGATACATTGTAAATACATGATCTGAATCTTAATTTGCTCGGCTCACTAGACAAATTAGGGAGAAGCCGAGCAGTTGTAAAAACAACCTCTATATTCGGGCTCCGGGAGAGTTTATTTTGATAGCCCCAACGTACACAAAAATCCTTTGCTTATATCCTTTTTGCCATTTCTGTTTTGGTCATATTAAATTTAGTTAGGCTTTTGTTTCTATTCTTCCAAGCAAAATAAATGTTTATAAGGCCCTTATGTAACACCTGACCCTCCTTGCTTTAAGTCACCAGAAGATTTAGAAATAGTAAATAAACAAGCCATCTTGGGAGTATTCCCTTCGGGAGCGTTTCTGTTGTAATATTCCTGATTTTGAATGGAAAGATATTGGAGAAAAATAGGTTGAAGCCAGCCAAGATGGGTCAGATTCCCTTATCCAGCTGGTACGACAGTAAAATGACATTTGTGGAGCAGAGGGCCTGTAACGAATCCTTGAGTGCCTGCTTGTTGTAATAGTGAAGTACTTGGATCAGAAACAGGGTTGAGTTAGTTATAGTCCTTCTTGAGGCATGAAAGTCACCCAGGTGCCTTTGGGGAAAGTCATTCTCTCTCTCAGTCCAATCCACCTTGCAGGGTTGTTGTTGTTGCCGGGGAAAACAGGAGGAGGGAGCATTAAGTACATTAGTAAGGTTGTATATAAATCTAATGATAATAGTAATTCTAACAGCTCCCCAAAATTTAGCCAATATTGGTCCGTAGCAGTCCTGATAACATCTGGAGAATATCAGGTTGGCGACAGTTTTGATGTTAGAATGAGATTTTGATTATCTGGTAAAATCTTTCCGCAGTCCCTTCCTTCCTTCCTTCCTTCCTTCCTTCCTTCCTTCCTTCCTTCCTTCCTTCCTTCCTCTATCCATCCATCCAGCCATCCATTGCTCCTTCGACCCTCTGCCTTCCTCCCTCCGTCCCTCCCTCTGTCCCTTCCTTTCTTCCTTCCTTTCTCCCTTCCCTTCCTTTCCCTCTCTCTCTCCCTCCCTCTCCTCCCTCTCCTTCCTTCCTTCCTTCCTTCCTTCCTTCCTTCCTTCCTCTATCCATCCATCCAGCCATCCATTGCGCCTTCGACCCTCTGCCTTCCTCCCTCCGTCCCTCCCTCTGTCCCTTCCTTTCTTCCTTCCTTTCTCCCTTCCCTTCCCTTCCTTTCCCTCTCTCCCTCCCTCTCCTTCCTCCCTCCCTCCCTCTTTCTCCATCCATCCATTCTTTTCCCAGCAAGATTTTGTGGCTGGCTGCTTGAGCGAAAGGTTGGCCCAGGATCAAAACACCTCAGGAATAAGTTCTGCTGATGGGTAAATTACGAGGTCCTCGAGGCTTTTGTTCGCTCTGTTCTTTTAACATGGCGGTAATAACCCAGGGATGGAAATGAACTATTGATGAACTGCCAGCAAAATGGAATTCTGAGAGGTTCTGAGCGCAGGCGGGGCCTTTTTTCCTTTCACAAATGGATGTGCTCGCCTCTCTGGTTTTGAAGCCGTAATGACACCTGAAGCCGGATTAAAAGTCATTTCAGGGGACACTCTCACCCCACCCCCAACAGCAATTGACTCCTTACCTTGACCAGGCTTGTTTCTTTCATCCTGTGCCGTGGAGGGAGATTCTTAAATAAAGGCGAGGTGCGCAGAATGAAATTTATTACATGTTTTTCCAGGGAACGCTGCACGCTACAGTAATCTGGTCCTCCCTGTATTTTTCGTTAGCGTCTTCATAATCCCAAGTGAATAGAAGAGGCCCAAGATCACTCCTGGTTTAATTTAGCTTAGACCTAACCACAAGGATTGTTCCTGCGGTTGGCTCCAGATTGGACTGAAATTCCCACCCAGCTGGGATATACCAGGATATATGCTTGGCATTGTGGGATTGAAAAGGCAGTGACAACCACTTTAATGCTGGCTTCCTTGCAGACTAGACTCTGGGCAAGCATCCAAGGATGGTGATGGCTATAGGGCCCAGTCACCCAGCCATCACATCTCCTCAGCTGCCCTTGTGAATGTTTCTGGCCAGGTACATCAATCCATTCTCAAGTTATCAAGGGTAGCATAGTTCTGTTTTATCAAGTTCCTTGTAAAACTACCCGGAGTCTTTACCGAATTGGGAAGCCTCTAAATTGTTCCAATAAACTAGTATTTCTTAACTCTGAAGATGTGTGGACTCCAACTCGCAGGGTTCCCCAGCCAGCATGTTAATCAGTGGAAGAACTTGCCTTCAGAAATTGTGGGTGCGCCAACCCTGGAAGTTTTTAAGAAGAGTGAGCAGCCACTTGAATTGATATATATGTCCTGCTTGGGATTGGGTTGGACTAGATGATCCTCAAAGTACCGTCTGTCTTCTTTAAGAACCAAATACTTGCTTGCCTACCCACCCTAAGTGAAAACAAATGCCTTGAATCAGGTTGTCTCCGTCACAGGCAGAGAAGGCGCTTCTGTACAACAGCACAAAAGAAGATACCCAGAAATCTGCACTGGAAACAAATATAGGAGAGCAAAATGTGCCATGGTCTTCACAGTACAAAAAAAGCTTTAATGAGAGAACAAGATTTGCAATAAATAAGAAAGCAGTAGCTTTATTAACAATAGCTTGAGCCGTGGTGGTGCAGTGATGAGAGTGCAGTACTGCAGGCTCCTTCTGCCGACTGCCAGCTGCCTGCAATTTGGCAGTTCGAATCACACCAGGCTCGAGGTTGACTCTGCCTTCCGTCCTTCTGAGGTGCGTCAAATGAGGACCCAGATTGTTGGGGGCAAGAGGCTGACTCTGTAAACCACTTGGAGGGGGCTGTAAAGCACTGTGAAGCGGTATATAAGTCTAAGTGCTATTCTTGTTGCTATTTAATAAGGAAACCAAGATTTTTCTGTGTGGAAAGTTCATATCTTAAGCTACTGGATTTCTGCATTGGGCATCCGGATGCCTTGCAAGACTTCAGCCCGTGCTGGGTATAAACTCCCCATTTTTCCAGAATTTCTGCATCCTTTCTGATCAACTCTAAGCACCGGCCAATTTGAAGCAAAGCTTCTTAACGTCTGGACTCCAGGCCTGACATCGCTCCTGTGGAATGAGACGCCTGTTCCGTGATGGCCGATTTCCCCA